ATTGTTTAAGACCCCACTTTCAATAATGAATAGAAAAATCAGATAGAAGCTCAATAATAAAATAGAGAACTCAAATAGCATTATATACCAATGAAACCTAATAACCATGTAGAGAACTCTGAAGCCAAAAGGATGAAAATATACAATATTTTCAATTACACATGGTATCTTGTATTAGAACACATCAAGTCTAAAAAATTTAAGATGACTGAAATCATACAATGCATGCTTTCTGACCAAAATGAAATGAAACTAGAAACTAAAAGCTGAAGAAAACCTAGCAAATCTAAAAAGATGTGGATATTAAACATACTCTTCAACATATTCTTGCTCAAGAATTGGATTACTTGATATTATCACCATGTCAGTAATACCCACAGTGATAGACAAAAATCAATGTACCCTCTATCAAAATCCCAATGGCACCTTTTATTGCAAAAGTATTTTGAAAATTATAAAATTTATTTAGAAACTATGGCTAGCCAAATACCCTTTAAAAAGAAGAACCAAGATACAAGACACTTCCTGATTTCAAAATGTATTACAAACCTACAAAAATAAAACCAATATGATACTGACATAAAGACAGATAAACAGATCACAAAATAGAATAGAGAAAGCCCCCAAATAAAATGTTACGTAAATGATCAAACCATCTTTCACAAGGAGACCATGAACACCCAATGGAAAAAAGAGAGTGTTTTCAACAAATGGTGTTGACAACTGGGTATCTATATGAAAAAAAACTGAAGTTGGACTAATCCCTTGCACCACAGACAAAAGTATTTTAGATGGGTAAAATATTTAAAATGTAACTAATATCAGTAATAAAACTCTTACACTACATAGGAAAAAGATCATGACATTACTCTTAGCATTGTTGTTTTGGATATGACATCAAATGCAGAAACAAATGAACAGAACAGTGGGACTAAATCATATTTCAGAATTCCTGCACATCACAGAAAACATTCAGTTCAGTGAACATGCCACCTAAGAAATAGGTGAAAATATCTGAAAGTCCTATATATGATAGGAGTTAATATTCAGCATACATAATCTAAAATTAAACAAGTGAATAACTCAATAAAAAAATGAACAAATAATTGAACTGACATTTTCCCAAAGATATACAAGTGTACAACAAGCATTTGAAAGGAAACTCAATATTAATAAATCTTAGAGAAATGCAATGCAAAGTCAAAGTGAACTATCACCTCACACTCAGAATGGGCAATATAAAAAACCATTTGTCAAAGATGTAGAGGAATTATTTTTAAGTATTGTGGGAATAAATGATGAAGACACTATGAAAAATATGAAGATTACTCAAAAAATTAGGAATAAAAAGTAACATATGACCCAGAAATCCCAAGTCTGGGCATCTATGCCAAGTACGCAGTGCAGAAACTAGAGATGGTGCACACCCATGTTCACTGCAGCATTATTCACCACATGTGAGAGGCATATGTAACCCAGATGTCCCTCAACTGATGAACAGATAAAACAAATGTGACATATACAGACAATGGAATACTACTCAGCCATAAAAATAGAAATCTTTGGCCAGGTGCGTGGTGGCTCATGCCTGTAGTCTTAGTACTTTGGGAGACCAAGGCATGAGAATTTGCTTGAGGCCAGTAGTTTAAGAGCAGTCTGAGCAAAATAATGAAACTGTTGTCTTTACAACAAATAGAAAAATTAGCTGGGCATGGTGGTGTATGCCTGCAGTCCCAGATACTCTGCAGGCTGAGGCATGAGGATCACTTGAGACCAGGAATTTGAGGTTGCAATGAGCTATGATATCACTGCACAGTGAATAGAGTGAGACCCTGAAGTAAGGAAGAAAGAAAAGAAAGAAGAGAGAAACAGAGAGAGAGAAAGGGAGGGAGGGAGAAAAGAAGCAAGCAACAAAGGAAGGGAGGGATGGAGGGAAGGAAGGAAAGAAAATAAAGAAAGGAAGGAAAGGAAGAAGTGGAAAAGAATAAATTAAAAGAAAGAAAACATTGCCAAATTCTGTAAGGACAAGCCAGCACACTATGCTGTGAACTGACACTAGCTGGTAACAACGTGAGTGCAGGATCGCACTGCACAGGACGTATTCTAAGCAGTCAAATCTAGAAACTGAAGGAGCGCGAGCTTTCCCAAGGGCTGAGACAGGCTAAAACGGGCAGTTAAAAAATGAACAAATAATTGAACTGACATTTTCCCAAAGATATACAAGTGTACAAGTGTTACTAACAGGCAGTGAGTGTTCGTTCTGAAACACGCAATACTTTCAGAGGTCTTGAGCACGACAACAAAAACAACCTCCGCTCATGAGACGTACACTTAAGAAGACTAAAGCTGGTAAGTTTCATGTTACGTTTTTAACAAGTTTTTTAGAAAGATAACTAGCCTAGGCGTGTCTTTTAAAAATCACCTTTTAACAGCAGGCAGCACGCGAAGCGCCCATCGACCTCGGCAAACGGGCGGCGCAGCCCCGTCCCCGCAGCCCCGTCCCCGCAGCCCCGTCCCCGCAGCCCCGTCCCCGCAGCCCCGTCCCCGCAGCCCCGTCCCCGCAGCCCCGTCCCCACAGCCCCGTCCCCAGCCCCGGCCGCCCGCTCCCCTACCGCCCCGCAGCGCCTTCTCCCGGGACCCCTCGCTGCTCCGCGACCCTCTCCCGCGGACCGACCCCGGCGCGCACCGACTGTCGTGACCGCGCCCACAGCACGGGGACCGAAACCGGCCGGGAAAGGAGCGCGCAGCCGGAGACACCCGGGGTAGTTTATGGGGACAAACAGGCACGCGTAGTTTCTAATACACATGGCGCATTCGGATTTTATTTAACCTAACATGGACTTAAAAGTGTTGCAATTTCATCCGGAATTTTAATACAACAGTGAAACCAAACACAAAAAAACTGATATCTAAAAAACAAACACATTAATATGGAATTGCAAAACAAGAATAAAAGAAATGTTTAGACATAAAATCCTGGGTGAAACACTGCTTTACCAGTAAAAGTGATTTTTTTCCGGGATAACTACAATGTTCAACTGTGACTGCGAACCCATGTACGGCAGGCATTTTGAATCACTGGTCTGCTATATATGGCAACAAAATTTCACAGAAAATGTATTACAATCATTAGTAAAAAGTATCTAATCAGAAAATTTTAATCATCATTTGAAAATGTTAAAGATAATTTTTATTATGTTGTTGCACTGTTGATGCTATTCTTATAAAAGCACAAAATCCTCTAATTCGATCTTTGGCAGCAAAGAAAAGCTTATATTTGAAAATAAAGTAAAAACATAAATACCATAAAATATGGTAAGAGTTACTGCTATGAAAAATGAACATCTGGGTAAATTATATTATAATTTAGATATAGGTTAAAAAAGTGGATGAAAATTCTCCCATCCAAGTTCTAAACAGGCCCAACCCAGCTTCCGAGATCTGGTGTTTACAGGGTGGGATGGCCACAGATGGGAATTCTAATGATTCTCTTTTGCCTGCAATAAACTCAAATTTTCAAGTAAATACAGCATACCTACAAATTATCTAATTTGCCTCTTGTATAATGTGAAATTATGGCATATTGTTCTGAATTTTTAAATCTAAAACTATAGAGAAATGTAATGTAGAACAAAATAGAAAGTTAAAGTATACAGAGTGTGAAATCACCAAGATGGTAGAAGAAAAGCCCTCTGCTTGTTTATCTCCCTCCATAGCAACCAACATTTGCCAGCCACCTATGAGAAAAGTGCCTTTAAGACAGCCCAGCACAGTGGCTCACACCTGTGACCTTGCCTACTAAGAGGTCTTAGGTGAGAGGATCATTTCAGTCTAGCAATTAGAGATGAGCCTAGCAGACACAGTGAGACCACATCTAAAAAGTGCTTTTATGAAAGCTTCAGGATCCAGAGAGAAGGTTGTAAAACCCTGAGAAAGCCCTGGACCAAGGAGGGTCATTTTAAGAGGAAAGGTTGTAATTCATGTGGCAAACGTGGGAAACCCTGGTCTTAGCTAGAGAACAGGAACTGGCCCAATCAACTTGGTGCCACTGAGAGTTATGAAGTGACTATGTAGGCACCTCCCACTTCTCCCAGTCATGGCCTGGGAGTGGTGCTGCCTATACAGAGACCTGAGAAGACATGACCATTTGTGGTCGTGGAAAACAGTCCTACAGAACTTAATACTCACTGTGGCCTCTGAAGCACTTCTGTGACTCAGTTCCATCCCTCTTGGCCACAGTCCTTGGCCGTCATTCCCACCAAGGGACCCAGGCAGTGACCTGGGGCAAACCTCTCACATCCTCAGTGGGAGCCACACTCACCTATACACCTGATATCAGGCCCACCCTAGGCAGACCCAACTGCAAGTGCCTCCCCTAGAATCAGTGTCCTGAAGGCAATCCAGTCAGCTCATGAGTAAGACAGGATTCACAGCTACCCAAGCCCCTCGTAACAGGTCCACACTAAAGGCCCACCTCTCTGCATGCCCAGCAGCAGAATGTGACCCAGTTGCAACCCCTTAGTCTGCAGACCCAGAGGAGATCCCATCAGCCTGGGGACCCAAGAAGGGAAGACCTTGACCTGCTAGAACTGGCTTAAAACACAATGGAAGCAGTGAAAACTCTTTCAGATGCACACAGGCCAATTCAAGGTTATATATTATGCCCATTTTCAATGCTGCTATTTTAACACAGTATTGAAAATACTACCCAGAACACTTGGGAAAGAAAATGAAAAAAAAACCAGAAAACATCTGTCCAAATAGAATACAAAGAAGTAAAAATATCAGTGTGTGTAGATAACATAACCTTATCATGTAGAAAACCATAAATAGTATACAAAAAATATTTAAACTAAAATATTCACTTAATAAAATGGACAGATTAAATTAACATGAAAATATCAGTGCTTCCATACATTAACAAACTAATAAATAAGTAAAAAAATTTGCATTAACAAAAGCATCAAGATATTAAATTTTTAGTAATAATTTTAGCCAAGGAGGGGGAAAGGTGTTAAAGTGAAAAATATAAGAGATTGATGAGAGAAAGAGAAGACACAAATAAATGCAAAAATAGTGCATGTTCATACACACATATAAATATGATTGGCACAGTCCCAGTTAGCTTCATATTAAACAAGAGAAAATCATAAAATGATAGTTATTAAAAAATAAAGTAACAACCAGGAGTTTGACACATGCTCGACAATGTTCTAAGCTTACCAATGACTGCATATTTAAGAAATGGAGGGAGTATATTAAACTATATTAAACATGAGAAATTTGGCCATACAGACTTTAAATTATTACTCACAATTACGCTAGAAACAGAATTTAGAAGTAAAATAACATTACATTTTATTGTATTTATGGAGATACTTAGTTTTTGATAATGTCACTGAGAATGAATTTCTGCAGAATCACATGTAATACTTCCACAGAATAGGAAACCATAAAGAGGAAAACATACAACCTCTACTTGTGGTGTTTTGGAATTTCTAAACCAAATACCAATATCACCACTACATTCACACATTTCAGATATGATGCAAAAGGGAAATTTAAAAAAAGGTTTAACAGAGTTTCTCAAAACATACATAGATATTCCCATGTCCTGAATAGCAGTGGAAGAGCAGTCAGATCCTGCAGTCCCTTGGAAGCCACAAACAAGACTTGGGTTTTCACTGTAATCTCAAAGGGAGATCACTGAAGGGAAACTGAAGTCCTTAGATATTTTAAGAACAAGGAACACAGATGTCCATATGCGAGAACAAGAGAAAGAAACTAAGATTTCTCAGAAACCCTCTGCATTGAAGCAGAGTTTTCCAAGCACATTTTAAGGTCTGGCTTCCTCCTTGACCTTTGGACCTCTCACCTGTGTCATCTCCTTCCCTCACTTCCACTTACCTTCCTGTTCTGCTACTGTCTCATGTCTCTTCACACTCCAGGATTCTTTCCTTTGCTCCAGACAGAGGATCAGGTCTGGCTTAGAGAAAACAAGACCTGTTTTATTAGAAAAAAGTTACATCACTCTTGCTGGTATTCTCCAATTACCAACCTAGTACTGTGCTCAGTAGAGAAGAGAAAATGTTATGGAAGATTTAGAAAGTTAACCAAAAAGTATCATTTTATGATAGAATCTTGAGAATACGTAGGAACTTTTTAACATTTGTGGGTCCTTAGATCTATTACGCAATCCTAATAAAATAAAAATTGATGGTGGAAATGGGATCTGATGGTGTGGATGACAAAATTTCATGCCACTACATTTCCGAAATTATCACTAATCTACAGTGAAGAATATAGATCAGCTCTAAAAATATTAAGACTAATGTCAACATAAAACACCCTGACATTTTTCTTATACCAACAAATGCCCTAGCTTTCCTTGGAAACAAGGATCTGATACTCACTCATATAAAGCAGAAACATTCTACAAAAGGAGGATATGAAATCCTTAGTTTGAAATACAAATTGTGTACTGAATTTATCCTCACCTAGGGAGAACACATTTCTGTAGTTCTCTAACATCACATCCCTATACAAATTCTTCTGGGCAGGGTCCAGGCATGCCCACTCTTCTGGGGAAAATTCTATGGTAACATCCCTGAATGTCAAGAGTCCCTGAAAGAAGAAAAAACATTTATTTACGACGTAGCCATGGGAAGAGTTCTTAGTGTGACTCTGGGTGAAGTGAGAGAGGGAGAGTACTGGTTCTCACTCATATGAGTGACTGCTATTGTTTGAAAGGACAGTTTTTAACACACAAATATTCTCTAATGTATTCTCTATCTCTGAGGAGAGAGGATGACATAAGATCCACAGAACCAGTGTAGACACTATGGTTTTCTGGATGACACAGTGTAAAGTTCAAGGCACCAACACAGACATTTCTTTTTTTTTTTTTTAAGAGGGGGAGGGGGAGGGGGATTTGCAAGCATTACATCATTTTTGCTGTTGCGTTTTCTTTTTTTTTTTTTTTTGTGGAGACAGAGTGTCACTTGGCGTCCTGGGCAGAGTGCAGTGAGGGCGGGTCACCACAAGCTCCAGGTCCTGGGCTGTGAGCGATCCTTTTGCCTCAGCCTCCCAGGTAGCTGGGACTACAGGCGCTTGCCAGAGCGCCCGGCTGTTTTGTTGGTTTTTGTGTATTTTTTTTGCCTTTTTTACCTTTTTTTTTAGATTTGGAGACGGGGTCTGACTGTGCTCAGGCAGTGTCCAGGCTGGTGTCAAACCCCTGAAGCGGCAGCTATCCACTCGTCTCGGCCTCCCAGAAAGCTAGGATGACAGGCGTGAGCCACCGAGCCACCGCGCCTGGCCACACATTTACATTTCTGAGTGCTACATTTACATCATACATGATTACTTGTGTATACATATTTCACAGGAAAAAGTTACGCTGAGTTAAAAGGGTCATCCCAAACTTTAATGCACACAATGAACAGGACATCTTGTGCAAATGCACAAGGCTCTGGCAAGCGCCTGTAGTCCCAGCTACCTGGGAGGCTGAGGCAGAAGGATCGCTGGGATTAGAGAAACTCCCATCCTTTTTGCTCATCAAGAGCAGCTGACTGCAAAGAAACACCATTCCCTTTACGACTTAGATAAGGTTCCCTCTAACACCTATCACAAAGCCAGACACAGATTCTACACATTCGCATCTTACAAATGTCCATCTCATAAATCATTAGATGGACAATTCTGTTTTCACTAATCTGAATAAAATACTTGTTAATCAAATACAACAAAGTTACTTTCCTGCCAGGACCATTAATTTTGATGCCCTCTCAGCCTTAGCCATCACACAGCCCCTCCCTGTGTACCTCCTAGGAGCAGTCTGACTTCAGGGTAAATCATTTTCAAAACCATCTAACTTTGCCACCCTACATCCTTCCCTCCCCCCGGCCTCTCTTTAAATCTTATTTCTTCTTCCTATGAAAGCCCATTTCTGCTTAACCTTTAAGATGCTCACAGAACTTATATTTGGTGCCTTTCCCCTATTACAATACTCCTATACAATAAAGTCATTTCTTACCTGAATCTGAATTTGCTTTATTTGTCACTGTCTATAAACAACAAAGATAATAACAATTGCAATTTCAGAAGGGACATCACACTCGTTCCAACCCAAAGACAACCCTGCATGCCCTGGCCTTAGAAAACACAGGGGGAAACCACTCCCTCTGTGGAGGGTTAAAATAACTAAATAGGAGGTAAGTAGACTGAAGTGACTGTGGGTTCCTACCCAACAATACAGAAATATAATCAAAATGCAATTATTTGTGTAAATTACCAAGTTAGGAGCAAAATTTACGTTTAACCAACTAGAAAGCACAAACTGACCTGTAATTACATAACCAGAAAATGCCCACCATGGCAGTCCAAAAAAAGGGACTACACAACTGTAACCAGCTAGAGAACTAGGATGACCGCTTCGTGGCCCTCATTGAACCCTCTCCTCCAAGCCCTCGAGCGGACCCCACACCGCGGCTGGCCGTCCGGACCCACCGTTCCTGTTTCTCCGCGAACCCTTTAACGTCCCCACAGCGCCCCGGCTCCGCCGTCCACAGGAGGGAGGACGGCCCCGCGGGCCAGCGAGCTCCTCCCGCGCGCGGCCCCGCACCCCGAGCCGCAGCCTCCCCCGAGGCCCGTCCCGGCGTCGCCGCGCTGTCCGGGCGGACGCGGGCTGCGGGCTCGGAGCTGCCACACGGGCTGCGGCTGCGCCCGGCGCGCCTGGGAGGACGGCACAGGGCGCCCGGGTCCCGCCGCCGGCCCCGGGGAAGGAAACACTCACCAGTTTCCGGCCTCCGGCGTGTCCCGCCATCCTCCACACGGAGCTCCAGCGTCCGCAGGACGACGCGGCCGCGCACAGCGCCCGGAACTCCCACACCGCAAAGGAGACACAGCGGTAACGCGGACTGGCCTTTAAGGGCGGCGCCAGAGATGAAGGCCCCGCCCCTCCGCGGAAGACCCGCCTCTTCCGCTGCGCGCCTGATTGGACGTTACCACAGTCCTGGTTGCCCATCTGTTTGTGGTGCTTGTCAATGTCGAATGTTACTCACTGACCAGGGACAAGTCCACCTGCGCCACATAAAACGTCTTGATATCCGTCTCCAAATGCAGCCCTTAATTTCTATTCTTGCATAAATGACGGGGTTGGTGCTTTACCTCATTTCTGGCACACTCTGTTATTGGAAACCGGGCTATATGCGGTGGCTCCGGAGGATGGGGGAGTCAGGAAAAAAGACAGCTCTAGTAGTATACTGGATGGTTACAGGTCCCATATTCCTAGCCTTGATTTAAAAAAAAACAACTCCTGAGCCCTTCCGTGCCCTTGTTTGTTGTTTATATTTACGGGTTTTCAGGTAACTCCTTTAATTTGCAGAAATTATGTGAGCAAGAGAGGCTTGAGTAGGGGGTGCTGAAATGGGTTGCCAGCCAGGAGCGCAAGTGGGGTCTCCAAGCCCTGCTGGCAGGAGACCCAGCAGTTCCTCCCTCTTCCCCGCTCCCTCCATCCCGGGCGGTGCTTTAGGGGAGGAGGACTCGGCAGGTGGGACTGCTGCAAGGGAGCAGAGCAGAGTGAGGGGTTTACTGGGGCTGCACTGGAGCTGGTGGTGGCAGGTCCAGCAAGAGACCAGGCCGCCGGGAGCCCTAAGGCGCTGTTTGGCCTGACTCCACCATGAACGTCGTGCTGCAGTGTTGTACAGAAAATGTTGTATGGCGGAATTTTGTCCTAAAGACTGGTTATTTGAAAAAGAGGAAGTGTAGGACAAAACAAAAGGCCTATGTATGTCTTGAAGGGTCTGAGTGAGATGCACTGGGTTTGAAAAGGATACAATTTGTTTCAAACTTCTGTGTGATTAAGTGGGTTGTAGTTGGATGGAAAATGTTTGTGTCTTTCTAGATATTGATCTTTGATGCTAAAAATATACTAACGCAAAATAAAAAATTTGGCCTGGCCCGGTGGCTCACGCCTGTAATCCTAGAACTCTGGGAGGCCAAGGCAGGAGGATTGCTTGAGGTCAGGAGTTTGAGACCAGCCTGAACAAGAGGGAGACCCCCATCTCTACTATAAATAGAAACTAATTGGCCAACTAATATATATAGAAAAAGTTAGCTGGGCATGGTGGCACATGCCTGTAGTCCCAGCTACTCCAGAGGCTACAGCAGGAGGATCGCTTGAGCCCAGGAGTTTGAGGTTGCTGTGAAGAAGGCTGACGCCAGGGCACTCACTGTAGCCTGGGCAACAAAGTGAAACTCTGTCTCCAAAATAAATAAATAAATAAAATAAAATAAAAATTAAAAATTTGGTTTCCTATGTTAAAAACAACAGTTTTCCTAAAGTTTTAATCTGCTGTTAGGAAAACTGCAAGAGGTGTTGATTTTAAAATCTAAAACCTGTTTCTCTAAAAGCCTGAGAGATTACTCTCTCTTGGAGACCATCTTTATTGTTAAAAACTCCTCCAGACTTTCTTTACTTCCGAAGAGAGAGCGTATTTGAAAAACGGCTAGGAAGGCAATCCCTGGGCCTGACGGGCAACCCAACACAGACCCAGGTAGTGTACAACATGCTTTCCCTTCCACATGTCAGAACTGGAACCCCAACAGGGAGGAAGGTAAGGAGGCTCTCGAGTGGTATTGCCAAACTCTACTGGGGACGGGGGCATACGGGCTGTGGCTAAAAGCCAACTAATTTATCTAAGGTAAACAAGACAGTGCAAGAATTTAATGAGTCTCCAGTGTCGTTTTTGGAAAACCCTTTTAAGGCTTATCACCTGTATACCCCCATAGACCCAGGGGCGCCAGAAAACAGGCCCACCGAAAATATTGCCTTTGCTACTCAGTCGGCCCCAGATATTCAAAGGAAGTTACATAGGTTAAAAGGGTTTGAGAGAGAGTTGCTGAGTTAGTTGAGATTGCCCAGAAGATTTACAACAACCAAGAGGATCCAGGGACGGTAGAGACTAAAAAGATGGCAAAAATCTTAGTGTCTGCGATGGCAGAGCCATGACATAGCCAAAAGAAAGAACCAGAAACAAGGACCTGTAAAAGGGAAAGACACACCCTAGACCCCCGGCAGTGTGTCTTTGGTAAGGAGTACGGGTAGTAGAGACAGGAATGCCCCCATCTGCCAAGGGCAGAAGGAAAGCCCACACCTGTCCTTGTAAAAAATGCTGAGTGATGGGGCCAGGGCTCCATTCTAATGAGCCTCCAGTAGCCCAAGGTAACAAAAAATATTGGGGGCAAGCCCGTAAAATTTTTGGCGGATACCGGGACTACACATCCAGTCTGGCAGTACCCTATCAGCTTAAAGGCAAGGAAGGGAACTGCTGGGCATACTAAAAGACTCCAGGAGACGGGTATTTTAATTCCCTGCCAGTAGGCCTGGAATACTCCTCTGCTCCCGGTACAAAAGCCGGGGACAGATGACTACCAACGAGTATAGGACCTCAGGAAGTCAACACAAGGATTAAGACCATCCATCCAACTGTGCCTAATCCGTATACCCTCCTGAGTTTGTTGCCTCCAAGCCATAGCATCTACACCGTGCTGGACCTGAAGGACGCTTTCTTCTCACTCCCCTTGTCCGCAGTAAGTCAGCCTATTTTTGCTTTTGAGTGGATGGATCCGGAGGGAGGGTATTCGGGGCAGCTGACTTGGACGAGACTGCTGCAGGGGTTCAAGAACTCACCTACTCTGTTTGATAAAGCTTTAAGTCAGGACCTAGTTCAGTTTAGACAGACATCCGGAAGTGACTCTCTTGCAGTACGTGGATGATCTTCTCCTAGCTACAAGAGATCAGGCCACCCATAAGAGAGCAACTGAGGACTTACTGTCAGAACTGGCTCAGCTAGGATATCGGGTTTCAGCTAAAAAAGCCCAGCTGTGCACTCAGACCGCAACTTATCTGGGTTATGAGCTGAAAGAAGGAAAAAAGACTCTGTCCACTGGTAAAATTGAAGCTATCTTAAAGATTCCTCAGCCTCAAACTAAGAGACAAGTAAATTTCTGGGGGCAGTGGGATATTGTAGGCTCTGGATCCCTAAGTTTGCTGAAATAGCAAAACCCCTGTATGCCAGCACGGGGGGAAAGGAAGATGCTCTCGTCTGGACAGAAAGTCTAAAGCCTTTGAGAGTCTCAAGCAGGCGCTTGTAAACGCCCCTGCACTGGCCTTAGCCGACCTGACCAAGCCTCTCCAGTTGTGTGTTGGTGAAACTCGCGGAATAGCTAAAGGGGTCCTGACTCAAAAGCTAGGACCCTGGGACAGGCTGGTAGCCTACTTATCTAAGAGACTAGATCCTGTAGCCTCTGGCTGGCCTGGCTGCTTGCTGGCTATTGCCACCATACTCATTCTGGCAAAAGAAGCCTCCAAACTGACATTGGGACGGGACTTGTGCATAGTCGCCCCTCACGCAGTAGAAGCACTGTTAAAAACCCCACCTGAAAGATGGCTTTCTTACTCACGTGTAGCCCAGTGTCAGGTATTGTTGCTAGACCCACCTAGGATTCGCTTGCTGAAGGCAGCTGCCCTCAACCCTGCCACCTTGCTGCCAGATAACCCGTCACAACCGCTGCATGACTGCCTTGAAATCCGGGAGTCCCTGACCGGCCTGAGGGCGGGTCCCGCAGACCAGCTGTGGCAGACGCTGACGAAGAGCTGTACACGGATGGGAGCAGTTCCGTGTCCGAGGGAGTCAGGTATGCAGGGGCGGCTGTAGTGACTGCAGACCGGGTTATTTGGGCACAAGCCTTGGGGCACCGGATCTCAGCCCAGAAGGCAGAACTCATAGCCTTGACCCAAACCCTGAGGTGAGGAAAAAATAAGACTGTCAACATCTACACGGACAGCACATATGCTTTTGCGAAGGCACACATATGGGGCGCTCTATCAGGAGCGGGGTCCTTTAACCTCCGAGGGCAAGGAAATAAAAATTAAGCCTGAGATACTGGCCCTGCTAGAAGCCGTGTGGTTGCCAAAAAATGTGGCCATCATCCACTGCAAGGGACACCAAACCACGGACTCCCCCGGGGCGAGAGGGAATGCTTTTGCTGACATGACAGCCAAGGAAGTCGCACAAAAACCAGTGGGGCCTCTCCAAATTCTCCCTGTTCTGCCTGAATGGTTCCTGCCAGACTCTCCAAACTACACCAAACAGAAAGTAAAAATAGGAGAAGCCCTAAAACCTAAAACTGATTCAGGAGGTTAGAAAATCCTCGCAGACAACAGGGTCTTAGTCCCTGAACACCTAGGACGGGACCCAATCAAGCAAGTGCATCAGAGCGCCACCTCGGCAGTGCCAAGGTGACTGAACTTCTCCAGAGGGACTGCTACATCCCTCCACTACATCAGACGGCTCGGCAGGTAACAACGAGATGTCTCGCCTGTGCACAAGCCAATTCAGGTAAAGGGATTAATCCTCCCCCCCGGGACCAGGTTAAGGGGACAAGCCCCAGGGAAACAGTAAAAAGTGGACTTTACAGAAATAAAATTGGGTAAATGTGGATACCGTTACTTGCTCGTATTTGCTGACACATTCTCAGGATGGGCAGAAGCTTTTCCTACGAAGTCAGAGACAGCACAGGTAGTTGTAAAGAAGTTAGTGACTAAAATTATCCCTAGATTCAGCCTCCCCGACAATGGCCCAGCATTCACCACCAAAACAACTCAACTACTAACCAAGGCGTTAAAAATTAATTGGAAACTACACTGTGCTTATAGACCTCAGAGTTCAGGGCAAGTGGAAAGAATGAATAGGACGTTAAAGGAAACATTAAGTAAACTAAAACTAGAGACTGGTGAAGACTGGGTGAGCCTCCTTCCCTTTGCTTTGCTAAGGGATAGATGCACTCCTCATGTTAAAGGCTTACCCCCGTATGAAATCATGTCCGGCCGGCCTCCCCCACTTAGCCCCAAGCTGGGGTAAAGACAAAGTAGCAGAATTAAATAACCATTCCCTCCTTACGTCATTGCAGGCCTTACAGTCTGGTGCCCAGCAAACCCGACACCTTGTGAAGGCCTCGCAT